TTTCACCTTCTGCCGCTTCAGAAAGTAAAATAGGAAATTGCTGAAGCAGACTTCAGTCTTACCCGGTACAACCTCTACTTCTGTTAGTGGCCGCTAGTTTGGCAATCACATTATAAGCAGCATTCAACTCTTGGGAATCCACTTTTGTGGAGAATTACTTCAAGGTATTGAATAGATTAATGATTGCATATTCTCACATTCTCGTGCCATGTATTAATTCTCTGTAATCCTCTACCATTACTTTAAGTCATTAGTGTTTTTTTTTTTCTTTTATTTATAATGTTCAATTTTTTATAATAGTTACTGATTCACTGGTATTGAATAGATCTTTAGTTTTTGCTGTTGGTACTTTGCATCCTTTCTGCAATTTTTGTCACATCTAATTAAGGCATTTTATATGATGCTTGTTGCTTGTTCAATAGAATGCTTCAATAAAAACTTAGCGTATGAGTTTCCACCCATTTAGGTTTATTTTTTCTTTCGTTGCAGCCTCTGAGTTTTAAAAACCATGGTCTTTAAAAATAGTTTATTTTAAAACCATGGATAAATTGATGAACCTTGTGGAGTTAGCTGTAGCTTTTATTATGAAATTTGTCTCTTTATTTTAATTAAAATGAAGATTTAATTTGTTCGGCATTAAATCTTGTTTCGCATGTTGCATAATTTATCACTTATATTAATAGAATATTTTGAAAATATTTTTTATTTTATTATTTTTATTTAAAAATCAATAAATTAAAAATCCAATGACAGTTTAATATTAAACCGTAATATAGTGATAAATTAAAGAAGGTACAGCTTCGAAGAAGAGAAAGAGACGTTCAGGCCCTAATCTAATCGCCTTCCACTAAGGATTAGAATAAGAAAAATAGTAATTACAATAATAATAAACAAAGACTCCAAAGAAATTGAAGAAGTCTTTGGTGAAACTTACTTTTCTCGGAAGCGAAGTTCTTTGATGGTTGAATTTTTTATTCAATTGAAGCAAAGTTGTTGGATCTTGAAACTTCACATTTCTTTGTTATTTCTATCTTTTCTTCTTTTGTATTGCTGCCTTACCTTTCGCTTACAGCTCTCTCCTCAAACCGTTTCCATCGAGGCAATCAAGCATCGTCTTCCATCATTATCTCCACATCTTCCAGCTAGCTAGAGTACCAAATCCTTTGCTTGATTTCTGCTTTATTGCTCTTCTTTTTATAACTCAACAAAAAAAATTTGGTGCTTTTTTAATTTCCTTGATTTTCTACTTTGCTTTTATAACTAAAAAAAGCGTTCTTTTTTTTTTTTTGGCTTTTATTGATTTCTAATTTTCTGTTCTTTTAACAGGGAAATAGAAAAAAAAACTGGTCCTTGATTTTCCTTTACTGATCCATACGGCTTTTGAAGATCCATCTCAAGTGAGGTATGCTTCAATAAACCATTATATATAAATTTTATTCTCCGTAATTTTTGCTATGCTCAACTTCATTTCTCGTTTGCCTCGATTAGTCTTCGATTTTTCACTTTCTTACTTGTTTATGAATTTACTTCAAAATAAAAAATAATAAAATATATATTTTAAAAAATTTAAAATAATTAGTATCTCTTAAAATAGCTAAAAAGTATTATTAAACAAAAAATATGATTCTATATAAATTAATAAAATATTAACATAAAAATAATTTCAAGGAAAATATAAAAGAATTATTTTTTAAAATGAAAGAATAAAAAAATATTGATGTAAAGATGTGAGATCTAGAAAAAATAAAATTTGTTTCAATTGACATAAAATTTATTAAAAATATTGCAACATTTTAAAAAATAAGTTATGAAAATTTTAAAAGTAATAAAAGGTAAGAATAAGGTTTTACTTGATATAGAAAATGAAAAGGGGTAAGGATACAACTTTTTAATTTAAAGTATAAAATAAAAAAATATTATAAATTTTAATTATTGGATTAATAAGTTTTTCACTCATGATTTTTTTTATCTTTAATTTTAACCAAGCAAAATTTAAGTGTTGAAAGATATTATTTTAACATAAATAATTACATTAGTAATGTAAAATTTAAATTAATTATTTTTTTAATTAATAGATATATAACATCAATGGCTAAACAAATACTTTCAAGGCTAAAATGATAACATAAAAAGTTAATATTTTAAAATTTATTGTAAAAAATTATTAATGTAAATAATTGAGAAGAATAATAAAATTTATAGCAGTTAGTTTAAAATAAGTTAAAAGTGATGTAATAACTTAAGATAAAATTATAAAAATTTTAAATATGATAGAAAGATAAAAATAAATCGTAAAAAGATATTTTTTAACATAAATGATTAAGTTGTTATGTAAAATTTAAATTAATTATATTCATGTAAATATTTTTTGGGCAATGACTAAAAAATACTTAAAAGTTAAAAAATTAATTTTTGAAAATAAAATATCAAAAAAATTATTAATGTAAACATGTGTGAAAAATTATAAAATTAGTATAATTTGTTGTAAAAATAGGTCATAAGTGTTATAAAAAAGTTATAAATCTTTTAACATAAATAATTAAGAAAAAAAGTATAAAAATATATTATTTTAACATAAATAATTAAAAATAAGTGTAAAATTATTATTTAACATAAATAATTAAGTTTGCAATGTAAATTTAAATTAATAATTATTTTTTTTGTAAATTTTTTAAGCCAATGGCTAAAAATACTTTAAAGGCTAAAAAGTTAATGTTAAAAAATTAATATTAAAAAATTTAAAAATAACTTAATTAGAAGTGTCGTAACATTAAAATAAATATTTATAAAATTTAAAATGTAATAAAAAGTAATAATAAACATAAATTTTTGAGAATAATAATAAAATTCATATCAATTAAGGTAAAAGGAGTTAGAAATATTTTTTTTAAAAAAAATTACCAATGTAAATAAGTGAGAAGAATAATAAAATTCATATCAATTAGTATAAAATGATTTAGAAGTATCATAACATCATTAAAAAGAGTTATGAAAATTTTAAACATAATAAAAGATAAAGAATAAACGTAAACATGTAAGAGTAATAAAATTCATATTGATGTAAAATATGTTAAAAATATCATAATGGATTAAGAAATGGCTATAAAAATTATAATCATAATATAATATAAGAGTAGACGTTAGACAATATTATTTTAATATAAATAATTAAATTGGTAATGTAAAATTTAAATTAATTATTTTTTTATAAATATTTTTAGGTTAATCGCTAAAAAATATTTTAAGGTCTAAAAAAGAAAATGTTAACAATTAATATTTGAAAATAAAAACAAACTTCTTTAAAAAAAACTTAATAACATAAACAAATAAAAAAGATGATAAAATTAATATCATTTGACGTAAAATGAATTAAAAGTGTTATAACACCTTAAGAATGATAAATGAAAATAAGAATAAAGTAGGCAACATAAAATTTAAATTAATTATTTTTCCAGTAAATAGTTAAGATAAATGGCTAAAAAATACTTTTAAGTATAAAAAACGTAAAAAGATTGATGTTTTTAAAATTAAAAATTTCATAAAAAGTATTAACTTAAACAGGTAAGAGGAATAATAAAGACATTAACTTAAATAATGTTGCTATATCTTTTTGGCATTCATTGCTTTCTACTTTCTTTTTCATTTTTAATGATAAAAAAGTACTGTGTTACTTTGTTTCATGCTATATCTATTTTGATTTGCTTTAAGTTCCCAGGAAAGAAAAAAATAATTTCATGTTCTTATAATTTTATTGTTGTTGATTTTTTTACCCTTTCTTTTTAAATTTCTATTTAGGTTGGTCCCTAATTTTTCCTTCCTAATGATCTCTGGAGTCGGTGATGTAAAACGCCCACATACCTTAATTCAGAAGATCCATTCCCAGTTAGGTAAGCTTAAATAATATAATTTTTTATTTGCTCCAAAGTTCTTTACTTGTTTCTTTCCCTACCATATTTAAATAAAAACTGCATTTATACTATGCCTTTACTCTAAAACATTATGATATATTCTTAATATATACGCGCATGAACACTGAAGAATTTCTACTATCTGCAGAATTTTCAATTTCCAAGTTGAGCCATCAACAATTGTTTCCGTTTGTGACTATAATCCATTAGAGCAAATCTTTGATTTTCTCAAAGAAATAGGTGAGCTTGAGGAACCTCTTCTCTTTTCATTTCTCTATTTCTTTTACTTATATTTTCCCTATCAAACAAAATAGCTAAAAGAGAAAATGGATGGAGAGTTGAGATAGGAAATTTTGTATTTGTGCGAAAAATTTATTTACAACTATCAATCATCCAATAATTGTTACGTTATAAAAAAAATAAAATATTTTATTGTAAGATTTTAATTTTGATAAATTAGTGTAAGCTGTAGAGTTTTGCAATACATCAACTAAGATAATCTAAAAAACTATTTCTTTCATTTGTTAGGATAAATCAACGGAGGAAATAAACAATATTTTGAATCATTAACTCTTTCAACGCGTAGGGCACAATTCGATACAGAATCTAATCCCACCAAAAGCAACCAAAAAAAAAAAAAAGTAAGAGAGAAAGTAATTGTTGAAAAATAATTGAAAGAAGACAAAAATAAAGGGGCCAATAATTCAGAAGTGCATCAATGATGCCACGTCCCACTAGCATCAATAGATCAGTTTTCTTCAAAAAATCGAACGTGCACCCAAAAAAAAAAAAAAAAAGTAAAGGCATGACCCAAGAGCATTGCTCCCAACATCCAAGAAAAGTAAAAGACACTTGGGCCCTTGTCTAGGTGTCTTCCACCAAAGATTTGAACAAGGAAAATGGTAATAATAATGATGATAAAAGAGAACCCAAAGAAGTTAAACAAGTCTTTGATGAAACATTTTTCTGTGGTTTCAATCGGTCACAAAGATATCAAGAACAACTTCTCAATATTTTTTGATAATTGAAGCTTTTTGTTCATTTGAAGCAAATTTGGTTTTTACTTCAGTTTTCTTTGAAAAAAAAAATTTCCAAGTTGATCCATCAACAATTGTTTCTGTTTGTTACTGTAATGGATTAGATCAAGTCTTTGATTTCCCCAAAGAAATGGGTGAGCTTGAGGTACCTCTTCTCTCTCCATTTCTCTATTTCTTTAACTTAATTTTTTTTCCTATCAGACAAAATAGTTAAAAGGGTAAATGGTTAAAGAGTTAAGATAGGGAATTCTGCATTTGTGTGAATAATTTATTTGCAACTATCAATTATCAAATAATTGGTACCTTATAAAGGAATAGAAAATCTTATTATAAGCGGTTTTCTAGTTATCTTACACTAAGGATTTGAACAAGGAAAATGGTAATAATGATGATAAAAGAGAATCAAAAGAAATTAAAATAGTCTTTGATCAAACTTTTCTTTGTAGGTTCAATTGGTCACAAGGATTTCCAGCACAACTTATCAATATTTGTGGATACTTGAAGCTCTTTGTTCATTTGAAACAAGGTTGGTTTCTACTTAAGTTTTCTTTGAACTAAAAAAAAAAAAAAAAAAAAAACTGCGTGGATCCTGAGAATTCATGTTTCCTAGATATATTTATCTTGTTTTCTGTGTTTTTCTCTCTAGAATGAAACAAAATAGTGTTGCTCTATAATTTTTTTTGCTTTCTTTGCTTTCTATTTTCTATTTTGTTTTATGCTATATCTATTCTGATTTGCTTTTAACTCCAAAAAAAATGGAAAAAAAATAATTCAATGTTCTCATAATTTTATTGCTGCTAATCTTTATTACCTTTTTCTTTTAATTTCTATTTAGGTTGGTCCTTAATTCTCCTTTCCTAATGATCTCTGGAGTTGATGTAAAATGTCCACACAGTTTAATTTAGAAGATCCATCCCCAATTAGGTATGCGTAAATAATTATTTTATTTCCATTGTTTTTTATATCCTCAAAGGTTGTTCACTTATTTGTTTCCCTGGCATATTAAAAAAAAAAACTTATAAGGAAAAAAGTGAAATAAATAGATTCATTTAAAAATTGAGAAAATATTAGATAGATTAATGATAAAAATATATACTATGCCCTTAATCTAATACATGTAACGTATATTCTTAATATATGCATGAACACTGAATAATTTCTTCCATCTGCAGAATTTTTATTTCCAAATTGATCCATCAACCATTTGTTCTCTTTTATTTTCATTTTCATGGAGCGATATATTGCTCCCAAAGTAATTAAGATGCTGCGCAGCATATCAGCTCATATAATCTAAAAATTTACTTCTTTCAAGTGGTAGGATGAATCAATGGAGGAAAAAAAAAAACCAAGAATATTAGAATCATTAACCCTTTCTTTTGTTTGTTTGGTCATTAAATCTAATTGCATTGCATGGGGCATAATTTGATACAGAATCCAATCCATCAAAACCTTAAAAACTGAGTAAGTGAGAAAATTATTGTTGAAAAATAAATTTAATCCATGAAAACCAACAAAACCGAGTAGGTGACAAAATCATTGCTGAAAAATAATTGAAAAAGTAGAAAAATAAAGGGATCAATAATTCAAAAGTGAGCTTGAGGTGCCTCTTTTCTCTCCGATTCTCCATTTCTTTTACTTATTTTTCTTTCCTGCGACAAAATAAAAAGTATAGCTAAAAGAGTAAATGGTTAGAGAGTCGAGAACTTGAAATGACGAATTACGCATTTGTGTGAAAAATCTATTTATAACTACTCATTCCGTTCCTTTTTTTTTTTTGTTATTTTTTGGGATGTTACATATATATCCTATTCCTTTTTTTAAAATCTAAAATTCTTATTTAATTTTTTATATTTTAAATTATTTTTTATTTTTTTAACATAAAAAATTATGAAATTTTAATTTTATACAAAATTAAAATCAAAGTTTTTTTTTAATTTCGTAAAAATTAATATATGAGAAATATTTTTAAACGAAAGTAATATCAATTATCAAATAATTATTGTCTTAAAAAAATAAAAATTTTTATTATAAGATTTTAATTTCGATAAATTTGTGTAAGCTGTGGAATTTCCCAGTATATCAGCAAATGACGATATGAAAAACTATTTCTTTCATACGTTAGGATAAATCAACGGAGGAAATAAACAAGATTTTGAATCATTAAATCTTTCAATGCATCGAATTTAATCCATGAAAAACCAACAAAACAAAGTAGGTGAGAAAGTGATTGTTGAAAAATAATTGAGAAAAGACAAAATAAAGGGGTCAATAATTCAAAAGTGCATCAATGATGCCATGTCCCACTACCATCAATAGATCAGTTTTCTTCAAGGAAAAAAAAAAATTTGACCGAGCACAAAAAAGAAAAAGTAAACGTGTGACTTGAAGGCATTGCGCCCAACTCCCAACAAAAGGAAAAGATGCTTGGGCCCTTGTCTAGCTGTCTTTCACTAAGGATTTGAGCTAGTAAAATGATAATAACGGTGATAAAAGAGAAACCTAAGAAATTAAACAAGTCTTTGATCAAACTTTTCTCTGTAGTTTCAATCAGTCACGAAAATTTCAAGCACAACTTCTCAATATTTGTAAATACTTGAAACTCTTTTGTTCATTTCAAATAAGGTTAGTTTCTACTTAAGTTTTCTTTGAACTCAAAAAAATAAAATAAAATAAAATAAAAACTGTGTGGATAGAAATAAAAAGCTCGATCTTGAATCCTGAAAATTCATATGTCCTCGGTATATTTGTCTCTTTTTTTTTTTTTTCTTGTGTTTTTCTCTGTACAATAAAAGAAGCAAAAATAGTATTGCTGTATAATTTTTTGGTTTCTTTGAGTTCTATTTTTTATTTTATTTCATCCTATATCTATTCTGATTTGCGTTTAACTTCAAAAAAAGAAAAAAATAATTCAATGTTCTTATAATCTTATTGTTACTAATCTTTATTCCCTTTTTCTTTTAATTTCTATTAAGGTTGTTCCTTAATTCTCCTTTCCTAATGATCTCTGGAGTTGATGATGTAAAAAGTTCTCACAGCTTTATTTAGAATGTCCATCCCCAATTTGGTATGCTTAAATAATTATTTTTATTTCCATAATTTTTTATATGCTCAAAAGTTGTTTGCTTGTTTGTTTCCCTACCTTATTTAAATAAAAAAAATGCATTTATAAGGAAAAAAAATGAAATAAACGGATTTATTTAAAAATTGAGAAACTATTAGATAGATTAATGATCAAAATATATACTGCATTTACTCTTAACACATGTAACATATATTCTTAATATACACATGAACACTGAATAATTTCTTCCCTTTGCAGAATTTTCAATTTCCAAGTTGATCCATCAACAATTTTTCTCTTCTACTTCACAATTGACTCCCAAAGTAATTAAGGTACTTCGCAAACATTCACAATTTCTTTTGTCTCTCTAGCTGTTTATATGTTTACTAATTATTAAAGTTGTTTTTCAACCGCAGATACTCAAAGAATGGCATGTGAATTTATTGCCTCTGGTGCTGCCAATGCTGTAGGAAACATCACAACAGAATATGCATCACCTTATGTTAGTTACTTTTTCCAATTTGGGAAAATTGTTGAAGAATTCAAGAATCGGAGAAAAGAACTTGAATTGAAAAGTGATCGGGTAAAAAATGATGTCGAAGAGGCTATAAGGCAAAATGAGGTAATTGAGAAGGATGTCCAAGACTGGCGAAAAAGGGCAGAGAAAGAACTGGAAGAAACCCAGTGTTTGGAAGCTCAAATAGAACGTATGAAGTGTTTCAATTGGTGTCCAAGTTGGGGTTGGCGATATTGCTTAAGTAAGAAAGTGGCAAAGAAGACGATCTCTATCGATAAACTTCTTGTGAGTTGTAACTTTCCACGGGTGGGCCACCGTGCTCCTCTAGAAGGAATAGAATTCTTCCCCTCTAAAAATTTCATGCCTAATGAGTCTCCAAAGTTTACTTTCAATGAGATCATCAAGGCTCTAAATACTGATGGTGTGAACATGATTGGATTGTATGGAATGCCAGGGGTGGGCAAAACAACTTTGGCAAAAGAAGTTGGGAAGCATGCTAAAGAGCAGAAGCTCTTTGACAAAGTTGTGATGGCTACAATGTCCCAAACTCCAAACATCGACAAATTCAAGATAAAATAGCAGAATTATTAAGTTTGAAATTTAAAGCAAGCACGCCAGAAGGAAAAGCAGAAGAGTTACATCAGAGATTGCTAGGCGTGGAGAAGATCCTCGTAATTATCGATGATGTTTGGAATGAATTTAAGTTGCTGACTGTAGGTATTCCTTTCGGTGTTGAACACGGAGGTTGCAAAATGCTTCTGACCACACGTCTTCAACAAGTCTGTGTTCGTATGAATTGTCAACAGAAATTTCAACTTGACATCTTATCCAAAGATGAAGCATGGGCTTTGTTCAAAGATACTGCTGGTCTAAAAGATGTTTCTTCGAGATTGAATGATGTAGCCAAGGAGGTTGCTCGTGAATGCAAGGGTTTGCCTCTTGCAATTGTAACAATCGGAAAAGCTTTAAAAGGTGCAAGTCTAGATGGGTGGAAAGCAGCAAATAAGCGACTCAAGGACTCAAGACATTTAGACAATGAAGAGGTTTCTCAAGGTATCTACAACTGCCTTAAACTGAGTTATGATTATTTGACGGGAGATAATATTCGAACATGTTTATTGCTGTGTTCCCTTTTTCCAGAAGATTGGCTTATTAAGATTGAGGAGTTGGTTATGTTTGCAATTGGTTATGGATTATTTTCTCATATTTCCTCAATTGAAGACGTGCGGATAGAAATTCGTGAAGCACTAGCAAACCTCCACGAGTCTGGTTTGTTATTGAGAACTGGTTATGAAAGATACGTAAGCATGCATGACGTAGTTCGTGATTTTGCTCATTGGATAGCATCTACAGAGGAAAATATATTCATGGTAAAAGAGGGGTTGATGGAATTGCCTACAAGTGAAAGTTGTGGATCTCATACAGCAATCTCCCTTTGGAACAGCAACATAAATTTTTTTCCTGAAAAATTAGAATTTCCAGAACTCAAAATTTTGATTTTTACAGGAAAGACTTTAGTGAAAGTTCCGATTGCATTTGTTGAAGGAATGAAAGCCCTCCGAGTTTTGCATCTCGAAAATGTCATTTTCTCACTAGAAGTACTTAATTTGGTAACAAATCTTCGAACTCTGTGCCTTGTAAATTGCGAGTTGGAGAACATCTCATCAGTGGGAAATTTGAAAAACCTTGAGATTCTTGCATTTTCTGGTACTAATATTTATGAGTTACCTGAAGAATTAGTGGCATTGCGTGGCCTAAAATCGCTACATTTTTTTGACTCTGGAAGAGAACAGATCAATTTTCCCCCTAATTTACTATCAAGGTAATAGTAGATGTCAATTATTTTATTTAATCATATTTCCCAAAATTAAGTATTTAGTTTTATGTTATTTATTTTTCTTTTATTTACTTTATTAAATAATTTGACTCTAGACTATGGGAAAAATATCTACCTTAAGCTTTTGGTCACTCCCGTTATCATGAAGCATTCAGAGCTGTAGTCATTTCCATTTTTAAAAAAATGCTATTATATAACATGATTGTCACATGAATTACAAAACAATAAAAAAATGCTCAAACCTTTTTTTATAAGAAAAGGTGCTGAAGAATCATGCTATATTTGCTGAGGTAATTAAAATTAATTTATGTTTACTTCTATTTTTATGATTCGCTTTAAGTGTTTGATAATACTTTTTTGTATTTGTGTGTAACAAATAGGTTGACATCACTCCAAGAACTATACGTGATATGTAAAAACAATGTTGACTTATCGGAGCTGAATTCATTGTCTCGTTTGACTGTGCTGTCACTGAGGGTTTCTACTGCTCAATGTTTTCCAGAAAACTTTGTGTTCCCTAAACTACAAAGCTACATTATAGTTGTAGATAAAGATGTTGAATTTATGCAGGGGCCAAGCTTTAGAACCTTGGAAATTATTGACTCAACTTCATTAAGTGCATACAACGAGTTGTTCTGCAATGTGGAAAAGTTGGCTCTGGAGAATGTCATGGGACACAAAAATATTGTCCCAAACGTAGATCCTGAGGGTCTAAATGCAAGCCTCCAAAGTCTAAAGAATGCAACCATTCGGAAGTGCAGTGAATTGAAATCCATCTTCCCGCCTTGCCTTGCTCAAAGTTTGTTGCATCTACAAGAACTTGAAATATCTGAGTGCGATAGATTAGAACAAGTCTTTGATTTTCCCCAAGAAGTGGGAGAGCTTGAGGTATCTGTTTTCTCTCCATTTTTCCTTTAATGGATAATGAGAAATTGCTAAACTTTATATATTGCTCATATAATTAACTTCTATTGAAGATTAGAAGAGATAAAGTTTAATTAAATTATATTAGTAATTAATCTAAATGTATATTTATTACATGACTTGCAAGTTGAGAAAACTAACACTATATATCTCTTTTTTTTTCTCTTTATTAGTACACTTATAAAATCATTGTATTTTTTCTCTTTTTTTTATTCTTTCTAAATTATATATTATTCAATAACTACTATTATTGCCTTTGTATATAATGTTTTGTCCATATTTATTTGCATTTTCAATCAATGAATTCATGTCAGGTACGACCACTCTCTAATTTAACTTCTTTGAAGCTAAACTCATTACCAGAACTAAAGTGGATATGGAAAGGGCCAACCCATCTTGTTAACCTCCAAAGTCTTAAGACTATGATGATATGGGGGTGTGGGCAACTGGCATATCTCTTTTCGACTCCCCTTGCTCAAAGTTTGGTGCATCTGGAAGTACTCGTAATAAGCCATTGCAACTCTTTGGAACATGTAATCTTTGATGAAGCAGAAAATGAGATCTTCAATATGACAAAGGATAAGGATGGACGTCCACCGCAAGACATTGTGCTACAGAGATTGCAAATTTTAAGACTTTCAAGTTTAGAGAAGTTGAGTAGTTTTTGTCCAGAAAATTTTGTCATGTCATTATCTTTGAAGGCGTTCGAAGTTTGCAATTGTCCCCAATTAACAGAGTTCAAGACGTTGCAGGCCCATTTAAAGGTACTTCTCTTATACTATATTTTTGTTTTAATTTTGTTTATTTTGGTAATAATTAATTGAATTATTTATCTTATAACACAAACGTCAAAATTTAGTACATTCACATCTACATGTAAAAGTATTATATAGTAATATATATAATTAGCTTCTGTTGATGTTTAAAAGAAAAAAGTTTAATTCAATGTATATTTATTACATGGCTTGCAGGTTGAGAAAACTAACACTGTATCTTTTTTTCTCTTTATTAACACACATTATAAAATCTTTGTATTTTTTTCTCTTTTTTTATTCTTTATATAATAAAATATTATTCTATAACAACTAGTATTGAATTTATAAAGCTCTTAAATCGTACAATTTGATAAAGGGTAAAAAGGGAAAACAAAAAACAAAAATAAAAAATAAAAAAAGGAAACAGGAAGGAGAAAGAGAAAGAAAAGAAAAAAAAGAAAATGTAGGAAGAGAAAGAAAAAGAAGGAAAAAAAGAAAAGAAAAAAAGGGAAAATGAAATTATTTAAAAAGTTTATAATTTTATAATCTATTAGTATTAAAAATTAATTATATTGATTATTTTTTCCTACATAATTTTAATCTTGTTTATAAATTTATTTTATTTTACTTTTACACACACCATTAATTACATTATAATTGTATTCAATTTATATTCGTAGTAAAAATTTATGGATAAAAAATATATAAAAATATATTTTTATAATTGTTGTGTTGCCGTGTCCATGTCATGTCTTAACTATATTATTTGTCACTATTCATGCTTTCTAGGTTCTAGTTATACTCAACTTGATTGTTTAAATTTCTACAATAATGAATTTTTAATGAAAAGCGATAGAAAAAATTATTCTTTTAACTCAAATCTTTCTTTTTCCTAATAAAAGAAATCCAATTATATGTTTCTAATTCTGCTAATAGTTTCCATTATATTGTGAATTTATCAGGATGTCCCATCATATGGTTTCAAGGAATTGTTATGCAATGTCAAAGAACTTACCATGGATGGAATCATGTATCACAAATTGAAGCATCTCTTCTCACCATCACTTGTTCAAAGCTTGGTAATGCTAGAAACACTGAAGATAGAACGCTGCGATGAACTGGAACACATTGCCACTGAGTTGGAAATTGATAATAATGTAGAACCAGACAGTGGCCTTCTCCATCATCCGCCCTTGCCAAAATTGACATCTCTTGAAATAGATGGGCATATTAGGTTCTTACAAAAGTTAAAAGATTTGACCATTGCAGATTGTAAGCGGTTGAAAGTGGTATTTGAAATGGATGGGCTTCTTGAAAAGGAAGAAATTAGTCAGACGCCGCTACTCTCAAATTTAACAAGTTTGATGCTATTTTGTTAACCGGAATTGGAGAGTATATGGAAATCACAATCAACCCATCAATATCATGCAAGCCTCCGAAGTCTGAAGTTTGTAAACATTTGGAGTTGTGATGAATTGAAAGCGATCTTCCCGCCTTGCCTTGCTCAAAGTTTGTTGCATCTACAAATACTTCAAATATCTGGGTGCGATAGATTAGAACAAGTCTTTGATTTTCCCCAAGAAGTGGGAGAGCTTGAGGTATCTGTTTTCTCTCCATTTTTCCTTTAATGGATAATGAGAAATTGCTACTTTATATATTGCTCATATAATTAACTTGTATTGAAGATTAGAAGAGATAAAGTTTAATTAAATTATATTAGTAACTAATCTAAATGTATATTTATTACATGACTTGCAAGTTGAGAAAACTAACACTATATATCTCTTTTTTTTTCTCTTTATTAGTACACTTATAAAATCATTGTATTTTTTCTCTTTTTTTTATTCTTTCTAAATTATATATTATTCAATAACTACTATTATTGCCTTTGTATATAATGTTTTGTCCATATTTATTTGCATTTTCAATCAATGAATTCATGTCAGGTACAGCTGCTCTCTAATCTAACTTCTTTGGAGCTACTCAGATTACCAGAATTGAAGTGGATATGGAAAGGGCCCACCCATCTTGTTAACCTCCAAAGTCTTAAGACTATGATAATATGGAGGTGTGTGCAACTGGCATATCTCTTTTCGACTCCCCTTGCTCAAAGTTTGGAGCATCTAGAAGAACTCGACATAAAAGATTGCGGCTCTTTGGAACATGTAATCTTCGGAGAAGCAGAAAATGAGGATCAAATAGTTTCAAAGATGGATGGCTATCCTCTCCGCTGGCCTAAGTTGAGAACTCTCAAGATAATTAATTGCGGAAGATTGAAATATGTGTTTCCATTCACTTTAGCTCAAGGACTTCCTTATTTGGAATCTGTTGAGATAACTGATTGTTCTCAACTAAAGCAGGTCTTCAATGTGACAAAGGGTAAGGGTGGACGTCCACCACAACATATTGTGCTACAGAGATTGCAAATTTTAAGGCTTAAAAATTTAGAGAAGTTGAGTAGTTTTTGTCCAGAAAATTTTGTCATGTCATTATCTTTGAAGGAGTTCCAAGTTCGCAGTTGTCCCCAATTAACTGAGTTTAAGACGTTGCAGGCCCATTTAAAGGTACTTCTCTTATACTATATTTTTGTTTTAATTTTGTTTATTTTGATAATAATTAATTGAATTATTTATCTTATAACACAAACGTCAAAATTCAGTACATTCACATTTAAATATAAAAGTATTATATATAATTAGCTTCTGTTGATGTTTAAAAGAAAAAAGGTTGATTAAATGTATACTTATTACATGGTTTGCAGGTTGAGAAAAACTAGCACTACATATTTTTTTCTCTCTATTAACACACTTTATAAAATCTTTGTATTTTTTTCTCTTTTTAATTCTGTACATAATAAAATATTATTCAATAACTACTATTATTGAATTTGTAAAGCTTACAAATCGAATGATTTGGGGAAGGGAAAAGGGCAAAATGAAAGAAAAAAAAAAGAAGAAACGGGATGAAAAAGAGAGAAAAGAAAAGGAAGAAAATGTAGGAAGAAAAAGAAAAAGAAGGAAAAAAAATGAAAAGAAAAGAAGAAAAGGAAAAAATGAAACTATTTAAAAAGTTTAAAATTTTATAATTTATTAGTATTAAAAATTAAATTAAAAAAATTATAATTATATTGATTATATTTTTTCCTATATAATTTTAATCTTGTTTATAAATTTATTTTATTTTACTTTTACACATACCATTAATTATTTTATAATTGTGTTCAATTTATATTCGTATAAAAAATTTATGGATTAAAAATATATAAAAATGTATTTTATTGTCATGTTTTACCATACCCATGTTTTCTATTTTTAAAATTGTTTAGTTGTCATATTCATGTCGTATCGTACTTGTATTATTTGTCACTATCAATGATTTCTAAGCAGTAGTTTGAATTATTTAAATTTTTACAGTAACAAACTTTTAGTGAAAAGCGAGGAATAAAAATATTCTTTTAACTCAAATCTTTCTCTTTCCTAATAAAAGAAATCTAATTATATGTTTCTAATGTTGCTGCTATTTTTCATTATGTTGTGAATTTATCAGGATTTCAAGGAATTGTTATGCAATGTCAGAAAACTTACCATGGATGGAATCATGTATCACAAAATTCTCATTCCATATGTAGATCCACGGGGACTAAACGAATTAATTTTTCTTACACTTAGAGATGGTAAAGAGCTGCAATGCCTGATTGATACAACAGATGAAGGCCATGTCTCAACCGTTCCACTGCTGCCAAATTTAACAAGTTTGAAGCTAAAGTCATTACCAGAACTGAAGTGGATATGGAAAGGGCCCAACCATTATGTCTGCCTCCAAAGCCTCAAGGTTGCAGTAATTAGTCGCTGCAATAAATTGAAATATCTCTTCTCACCATCACTTGTTCAAAGCATGGTGATGCTAGAACAACTCAAGATAGAATACTGCGATGAACTGGAACGCCTTGCCACAGAGTTGGAAAGTGATGATAATATAGAATCAGACAGTGTTCTTCTCCATCCTCCTCCCTTGCGAAGATTGACATCTCTTGAAATACATGGTTGTCCACGACTACAATATGTCTTCAATGTGGCAAAAGAAAAGAATGGAGTTGATCACGCCATTGTGCCACCATCATTGGAGAAGTTAACCATAGTGGTTTGTCCTCGATTTGCAAAGTTCATTATTCAACAAGTAGTCCACAAACGGCTTCAACTAAAGGTAATTTTATACTCCTTTCCTTCCGTTATGGTTTGAGATTTTACCTTTGGCCCAAATCTTTTCTATACTCATAAAATAATCAATGCTTTGAATCTCTTTTCAAAAAAGGGTTTCTTATTTAAGTTTTATATTAGAAAAATTAAAATAAATCATTCAAGACTTATGTTGAACTCTCATCTTTAACAATATTTTATGTTCAACTCATTTAAGACTGAGTTAAACTTGTTTGTTATCAAAAAAAAAAAAAAAACCTTTTTAAGTAATGGAAAAATAATAAAATAAGCTCTCTAACCATATTATAATCAAAATTTCACTTAAGCCCTTACAATATTATTGTGTGTAATTTAGCCATCCTACTATTTTAATTTAATGAAATCCAATTTGGATGGGAATTCAAACTGCTGGCATGCATACATATAGGCAAACTTTGATGACATGGCACTCATAGAGAACATTTAGATAACATTTCACTTGCTTATAAAATAAATAGAATTTGAAAATCAATTAAACATATTTAATTTGTACATTATAATAAAATCTTGAGAATGGTATTTGTTTTACATATATACTAGCTTTTTTAACCGTGTTATTATTTTCATAATTTAAATTTATTTTTTAATTAACTTTAATTTTTTATATTTCCTTAATAAAAGAATATTTAAACTTTTATTAATCAACTATATATAATCATACATTCATAAATTTTAAGATACGATTAAATGATAGCATTCACATATTGTTGTTTTAAGTTTAATTTTTTACAAAATTTCAAAAATCCTTTCTTTTTTATCAAAAAATTAATTTTATTTATTTATTTGCTAAACACCAAAAATTTTGTTACTAATTATTTATTTTTTTGATCAAAAAAGCAAGGGTCAGTCTTTTAATAGTCAAAATTAATAATTTTTTATGATAATGTTAATATGGATATAAAAAAAAATCATTTTATTAAATTGTAAAAGACATTTATATTAATAGAATATTCATAAACTATTAAATCTTATAAACCCGAACCAAAAATAAAACATCAAATAATAATAATTTCTTTTATATATATATATATATATTTGATTGAACAATAAAGCATATATAATTATTAATTTGTTCATAGCCATTTGCTTTTTATTAGTTTTTATTTTTTACATACTTCAACATATATATTTGCTTTTATTAAAATATAAGTCAAAATACGTTTATAAAAAAAATCAAATATACAAATTGAGAATGCATATACAGTTGAAATCTCTTGAACTTATGCGTAACAAATATTCAACTTAATAAATATATAAAAATATATAAATCAAAAAAATTTTTAGAATAAATCAAATCAAATGTATATATCATATCATAGAAATAAGACCAAATAAATAGTTTGAAGGAACAAACAAATGGAAGAAATAAAAAACAATAAAATATGAAAAAAAGTAATGAACCATACCTATTACCGAGTTGAAATCAATCCAAATGTACGTATGTTTTCTTTCCATTATTGAAATTTGATAAAAAATCAATGTCATTTAAGCAAAAAATATGCAAACGTAAAAACAATCCAACACCATCACATATTGATTTTTGCAAATAAAAAAGAAAATAAAAGAAAAAAGAGAATAATAAAGGCAAAAATGAACTTGTTCACGGTATGATGTGGTTTACTCTTCTTTCTAACTTTTGTCCATTCCCATCAAAGCCAATAAATCATAACTGTCAAGTAAAAAAAAAAGGCTTGTATTCTTCAATTTCTAATTCTAATAACAATAAATAAAATAAGCTTGGCTAGAAGGTGATCTCTCACTTTATAAACTCTTTATTTTCAATTTTAGATTCTGATTTCATCAAATAAAAATGTATTAAGTGTGTATATATATATTATGATTAAATTAAAAAAATATATAAATTAAGATTTAATATATTTAAATGCAAAACTTATGCAAAATTTTCAACTTTTGTTAGAGTTTGATTTGAATTTAAATAATTATTCAAAAATATTAAATTTAAATAATTTATTAAATAGAGTTATTTGATAAATAATATAATAATATAAACATTATTCTACATGTCATAAAGAAAAATTATTCATATAAACGTGTATATCAGCACATCTTATTTGATAATTTTGTATCTTATAATATATATATATAATAGATTTTGTACTTTTGAAATCATATATTCTTTGACCATTGTAATTTATTCAAATTTTAATGAAATTATGACATTTTTATATTTATATAGGAATTACGATGTTCTGAGTTGGAGCAAGACAACTTGTGCGACACTATTAATTGGGAGAATATATTTCAAATTCAAGATGGACATTTACTCTTAAGGACGATAGAGATTTTAAATTTAAAGGGTATACATCAGTTGCAGGGTCCCATCCAAGTTGCAAGCCTTCCTTGTCTTAAAGACTTAAAAGTGTCAAATTGTAATAAGCTGAAATCTCTCTTCTCTTCTCTGCTTGCTCAAAATTTGCCGCAATTGAAAATTTTGAATATAGAGTATTGTGAGAAGCTGGAAGAAATCATTGAAATGGACCAAACTTCAATAGCATCATCATCACAGGGTCATCTCCAAACTATATCCTTCCCTAGTCTTCAAGACATACGGATTTCTAGTTGCAGCAATTTGAAAAGCTTGTTTCCTTTTAGTGTCACCCGTTCTTTTGCCAACCTCAAGAGAATCGAAATTAAAGGGCCTTCTAAACTAGAGCAAGTCTTTGGGTATCAAGGTGAACTAGACATTGAAGATGATCAAAAGGGAATAGTGCTCCATAAATTACAAGAATTGTATCTTTTTGAGCTATCAGACCTCAGGAGTTTTGCTTCAATGGGTTATCATTTCCGATTCCCTTCTATGTGGTCGTTTAAAATAACCAAATCTCCCAAGTTGACCACAAGTGTCATCATGGATTTAAAACATCCTGTGCCTGCCATAACAGAGGTAACAGAGGACCTAACCGACTTTTTTTTTCTAACTATTATGCTGAATTAATTAATTTGTTTTTCTTTATCATATTGATACTAATGATGAAACGATGATGGAAACAAAAGTTATATTAGTATATAACTACATATTATTATGAATTGGATGACTCTTTATATACATACACAAGTCATATGCATAATTAATTAATTAATTACTTCTAGCATAACTTACTTAATGAGAATTGTCTTTTGTTGTGAAGGAACCCCAACAAGTTCAGAATAATACAACAGAAGGTTTCACCACAATGGAAGAAATAGTTGATAATCAGTCCACCTGCAATGATATAGTTTGGATTCATTGGAAAGATCGAATACCTCTATATATGACTCTGGGAGAAACAAGGATAATGTTACGCAAGTGAAAATTTCAGGAGAAACTTGTTAGCTAAACAGGTAAATATGGCTTTTTTCCATGTCTAGTGGTGGATTTACATGGCATTGTGGGGTGTACATTGAAAATAAAAAAAACTTTAAAGAAAAATTTTGTGTTGGATACCTTCAAATCTTTTTTTGGACACTCCTAAAAATTAGAAAATAAGAAATTTTAAAAGAAAATTTTCATAAACATTCAAAATTTTCTTTTAAACACCATTTTCATGGATAACATTGATAAATCCATCGTTAGTATTTTATATATTATAAGTGAACACATCCCAACAAAAATCTTGAATCTGTCACTGCCATGTATTTATGATTTCCTTAATCAAGTTTCTTGTTTAAATTCTTATCGATTCTTTGCCTCAATGATAGGTGGTTGATACTTGATTGTACTTATCATCGTTTGAGCTTTCTGTTTTATGGCACCGTCAACTGATCGGAACTCTATTTTTTCAATTTTGCTTTGCAATGAAGAACTAATTTGCTTTACATTTCATCGCATTTTCGTGTTTGATATTGTGAATAAAGTCATGTTTAGCCATTCCTTTAAGATAAATTTCATGTATTGTTTTATTTGGACTCGAACTCGAGCTTACATGTCTCATAAATCCTCTTCTTATCACATTGTTAGCAAAATTCATGTACTCTAAAGAAACATGGCGTTCAGTTTGGTTTGCTGGTTCTTTATTAGTTGCTTATAACCGTTTGTATGGATGAGTAGTATGTAGTTATGTCTACTTGCATGTCATAGATGATTCTCCAGACTTGTTTTTATTGTGGTGATTTAATAATTAATTCAATGATGTTATTTATACACTATGTTATATGAACTCATTGATAGGACGTCAAACATGAATAAATTTTGTTTTGACAATTTTTTATATTAATTTTGAAATGAAAGTATCCTATACATATAAACAGTATAGTGTTCAAAAAATCAAGACCCATATGGAACCAAATTGAATTGGAAGTTAATTATCCCACAAATTTATATGCAATATGCTTTGCAGAGATTATTTGTTATGAGTTGTGGCAAAATTTGTAGAAGCGGCCCCAACAATAATACCAAAAAGATACCATGCAATAATGATGATGAAATTCATGACATTTAAAAAGGAAAAATAAAAATATAAACCAAATCAAAACATGTAAATAGCAAAAATACTATTATGTAATTCAACTTTTACATCATATAATGTTTTAAATTCCACTGAGATCTTTATAATTTTTTATTATTCATCTAATTAGTGGGAATTTTTGGGTGGCTAATTTGGAAGAAGACAGCATGCTACCCCAAGGCCATCACTTTCCTCAAAGGCCAAGGGATAAAATATTGTTGGAAGGAGCATCATTATGAAAAGGGACCAAAGGTTTTGGCCTTTTTTATTATATTTTCTTTTAGTTTTTATTGATTTCGGCAATATAAACATATTTTCACTGATTTGTTAATTAATTGAAGATTGTCCATATTTCATCCATATTCTCATGTCTTGATCTAGCTATATCGAATATCATTCTTTTTGAACAGTGTGAAATGAAATTAATTAATGAAAATGCATTTGCATACATGTGAATATTTTCTCTAGTATTAAATTTTGAATTATTTAATTACTAGATTGGTTGATTGATTGATTGTTTATTATTAAAAAATGCATTTCCATAGGTAAAAAAATCAAAATATAAACCAGTCGTGTTTTAGGCCAATAATGTATAGCTAGTTGCTTAATGTTTACATACTTTCTTTTTTCATTTTTTCTTTGATTAACCATGTTTATCATAAGTAAATCTGACGATTCACGTATTCATATAGTGTAATATAATGAAATTCATGTATTCGTTTTGTGTTTTACACAAAAATTATGTCATATTTCGTATCGATATAAAAATATAAAATATATTTTTTTATTTTGTTAAATTTATATATAGTTATTATTATAAATTTTAAACTCTATCACTTTCGTATTTAATTTTATATTGTATTCATATTATATAATCATATCATAATTTAAATTATCAAGTCTAATCATAATAAGTGATTATGATATTCAGGTCATGAGGAGAGGGGACTTTTAATTGCTAGTTTTGAATTTCAAATTAAAACCAAAAAGTCATTCTCTTTATTTCTAGTTAGGATTATATATGACTTTTTTCGGTTATTTATAAAGCAAAAAAGCTACTCTTGTTGCCAAGCCTTCAAGAGTTCCAAAAAAAAAATTGCTATGTCAATGAAAATTTTAGAAAATTCTTTAGTTATTAATTTTTTTATGAACTTAATAGTATAAGAAAATATTATATAAGAAAATCATTGAATTAAATCAAATAATAAATCAACACATAATTAAATAATTTAATATAAAATTAAATTAAATTCACATATGATGAGAATTGAACTTAAAAATTTAATATTATCAGATTTATAAATATTATAATGTTGATAAAGCACAAGGTTACTTCTAAAAACACAAAAATATTTTCATTTTATCACTAAATATTTTTTAAAAAAACAACAATGAAAAAATATAAAGTGATAAAGTTAAAGATTTATAATATGATTAAATTGGTCATTTTTATCTTTTAGTTTATTTTGCATCATTAATTTGCTTCATGTTACATCACATACATTTTACTATTCTTAAAAATATATAGTGTAGTAAAAGATGAATATAAAGAAATTATTTTTTAAAAAAAAATAAGATAATATCTAAGTAAAATATTTCTTGGGACTCTGCTAATATTAAATGGATTCTTTAATAATTATTTCTTATGAAAAAAATATTATCTTTGTTTTAAGGATTATTATGAAATACCTAAGTAAAAAACATTTTTCTAAATTTTCTGGAATGAGAAATTCGAAACACAAATTTTATTTTATTTTTAATAAAATGATTCTAAAAAGGATGGCAAAAAAAGGGTTTTATCATAATAAATGGATTTAGACATTATTTTTAAATTTTAAAATTATAGGCATTTTTTTATCAATATTAAAGGAATATATGTTATTATTAGACTATTTTTAACCGGTACTGTGGGTGTTAATGTTTCCATGTATAACATTATTTTTTTACCAGATGTGTTTCGATACAAAAAATTATATTTTTAATAAGTTTAATTAATTTAAAATTTTTATTAAAAAAATAATCTTTTAAAGTAACCAATCGTATCTACTCAAATAAAGATTTGTGACAATTCATTGTTTAATTTTAAAATTTTAACGAGGTGGTCAGATTCCTAAACCTGTATGGTATGACAGCTTGACCACTTCACTGGAGATATTTTTAAAGTCGAGCCAAAAAAAAATTATGTGCTATCTTAAGTTTCGATTTAATGGTTTTAATTGATATTTAATAGTAATTCCCTTATTTCTATTTTTCAAAAACAAAAATTTTGAAAAATGAAAAATTTTGCAAAAAACAAAAGAAAAACAAATAATGTTGCCTACATTCATGTTTATTTATATCATTCATTACTTATGTTAATTATGGCATTTTCTCTGTTGTCTAATAAATTGTGAGGCATTTAAGATATTGGAATCTTGGTAAAGAGTAAAAATATCAAATGCTTGTTTGTTCTTTGGCACACACAATTTATATTCATTTACATGCATGAGTTTTTATGTGAGCTCCGACCTTTTAGGAGAAAGTAAATACTTACACTCTTATGAGGTGAATCATCTAAAGTACTCTTATTCATATTAAACATTTTCCATTTGTATCCTATAATAGTTTAAGATCAATATAACTTACTAGATTAGTATGGGTAATAGTAAAGAGCAATTTAGAATCTTTAGGCATGTAAAAATCCCAGCCAAGCACATAGAAAACCATAAAGAACCACCCTATAGGTGAGCCATGCAGAACCTTCTTCATAGAATGCACACAAAATTAAAACACATGAAAAAATTTTTACCCTTTACTTGATTTTGGACAAATACATGGATCGTAGAATAGTTTAAGTTTAATAGCATCTCGATATCTATAATAGGATGACACCACCGTTTTGAGGTTTCTGTGATACCTGATGAAAGCCCAAATGTATATATTTTCTTTTAAAAAAAAGGAATTTTCTTTAATAAGTAAAAAGGCAATGTTTTCAAAACAATGAAACCAATTTCTTTTC